TTTTATATGTGTAGGGCTTCTCACCTGTATCTTTATTTCAGGACAGATAAGGTGAGAACATTTAGTATATACCTTTCAACAGTTGCCATACTGGCATAAAGAAAGACTTGAAACCAAGGGTTTTCTCTTGAGTGCCGTTGGCATTCTCTTTACTCTATGAAGCTCCTGTGGGCTACTCAAACAAGACAGGGTCTGCCTGGCAATCTGACTGGTTCACAGGTACATTCGGAGATTCTAAAGTAAACAAACTACTGATACCCAGCCACAATAATTCAAAATTCATAGAGATTTCTGATAAATAGCGTCTCATGAGTAGTAGAGGATGTAGCTGGGCCCAGTAGAAGCCAGGCCTGATAGTAGTACCATTTCATGTGTTGAAGAAGCTGTTTTAGAAGGGAACAAGCATCCTGCAGTATTTGGGCTTTGGTGATGGATACGATTGAGATGCCACTGGAAGCCAAGGCTGGAAGGCTCAGGCTCACTACAGGATATAATACTTTCCCTAAAGGTCATACCCATTCCTGGAATCCCAGGCCTTCCTCAAGGCATTGTGTGGGACCCATTTGTAAATCATGCTCCCTGGCTAGAAGAGAGCTACCCCCTGAAGGAGTAAGAGTCTCCTGGGAGCAGTAGCCCACACTCTCCTTAGTGACATAGTGAACTACGATTACTTTTTATTCATATTTTGCCTGAGTGACTCAATATACCAAAAAAAAGTATGTGGGAGAAGACACTTCAATTTCTTCAGACTCTGAAAACAATGATGAATGCTTAATGACCCATAGTTGTAAGGGAAGTACATTCTTTTTCCAGAAAAGAAGCATATTCAGAACTAACAGCAACTTCTTCTCTAGAGGTGTCTGGTGGACAGACTATCAGGATCTGAGTTCTTGAGCTACCAACTCATGTTGTCCAGAGTTCAAGTCCACTTTGGGACTCCAGGGGTTCAGAGCCACTTCAGATCAGAGGGGAGGCTCTTTCCTAGTTTTCTAATCACATCTTGAGACAAAAGCATTTTGGATTTTTAAGTACTAAAATGTATAAAACTTGTCTTCCCACCTTGCCTTTTGGTTGCTTCTGGTATTTTGCTAAAGCTTAAAAACTTTATTATCTGAGATACCAAGAATTTAAGCCCATATTATTTGATCAAAACAACTTTAAATTATACAGTTTAATATTTCTTATGAAAAATCATATAAACAAGAAACAAAAAGGTGATTTCTATATTTAAATTTATATGACATAAATGGCAGTGAAAATATATAATGACAGAAACTGTAATGACAGTCACCTACAGGAAGGTGTCATGTTTCCTGGAAAAGAGGGACAAGTAGGTAAAGTAAAGGTTCTATATCTTTACATGGATAGTATTTCCTGTCACAAACCACAGCATTTGTCCTCTGCATCTGGGATTTCTTCAACGTTCATCTGTTTTCTTGGACTATATTTTTCTTCCTTTTTTGTTGGGCAAGGTGGAGGCAGAAAGAACTTTTGACTGTGACTTGTTTTGGTACAGTTGAGTGGATTTTGAACTGTGGTAGAGGCATAAAGAACCCTACCCAGCCTGTGTCATGCTCCAGGAGAGAAGACAAGAGATGCCTGATACTTCCTTTCATCTCCCCCTTTCCAGTAATAGAATGATATAAAAAGAACACAGTCCCACGTCAAAGATCAGCCAGAGCACTAGGATGTGACAATGAAAGTGATTGTTCTGTGGGAAATGACCTGTTACTCAGCAAAGTCCCTAATATCATCCCCCCGCCAGTTAATTTGTACATATTTGCAATTCCATTTCAGAAGTAATTATCTCAGAAAACTTTCTAAGCCTTGTCCACTGTATTCTTATATGGGAATATCCTGATGGAAAATATTCAACAAACTAATACAGTGTTCAGTTTAGCCAAGGTGACTTACTGCACACATTGAAGGGCACATGTGCTTAAGCATCATGTTGGTGGTGGAAGCAGTTATCAAGGAGGGATGTCTTCTGCAGACACCCAGTTCTTTGGTGTGACTTCTGTGCTCCTGATGACATGGGCCACTGAAGTATTTTATGTGCTTCACCCTTTCCTTTCCTGCAAATACCTGGGGTGATAAATGCAATTTCTCTTGAATTCTTTACACTTCTAAAAATAATCTCTTGTAAACTAGGGGCAAATGTGAAGAGAAGTTTCTGATTACCATGTAGTAGCACTTGCACACATTCCCACACTAGGTCTTTTTTTGGGGGGGGGCTTTTCAAGACAGGGTTTCTCTGTAGCTTTGGAGCCTGTCCTGGAACTAGCTCTTGTAGAGCAGACTGGCCTCGAACTCATAGAGATCCACCTGCCTCGACCTCCTGAGTGCTGGGATTAAAGGCATGCCCCACCACTGTCCGACCATACTAGGTCCCTAAACATATGTAAGAACATCTAGTTCTTTATAAATTACCATGGAGGCTTTGTATTATTAACATAAAAAAATTTAAGGGTAAAATAAGAAAACCATTTTAAAGGCTGGTAAATGGCGGAGTTCTGATTCACATTCAAGTCTGCTTGGCATGGGCTTACAATGAATTGTCTGGAAAAGCACAATTGGAGAGAGAAACGATCTAAGTTTCCGAGACACATACGTAATTAATCATAGGCCAGGAAAGTAAGTGTGTTCACAAACTAACAAACAGCAAGCGCTGTTGGACTACAATTTCTGTACTAACTTGGTATTGGGCATTAGGATTCTTTACTAAAAAAATTCATAGGTCTGACTGTGCATTACTGACTTGTTCAAAACTACATCTTCTGTAACACTTCATAGGAGGACAGAGTCAGAAATAGGATATATAAGGATAGTTGTATTCACAATGTCTGATTATTGTTTCTTATTCTTACCATAAATTAACATCTGCTGAAGGACACTGCATTTCACAGGAAATAGTTTCATATAAGGCCTCACATTATTGATGGTGATGACCTTTATTACTTATTAGGCAGTTTTATCAAAATAACCAAGATACTTCAGAAGAGTCTAGCATATACATGGCTTTGTTTTTTCAAAGAAAATAGTTTTTAAACTCCAATTGAGAGACAATTTAATTTATGTTTTGGATAATTGTTTTCATTTTTAAAAAAAGAGGGACAAAAAAATTCTGTGTTTATTTGCTATGTCCTGGGTATGTGTGGAAAGCCTACCTAGACAGCATTCTCAAACTGGGGCTAAAGGGAGATACTATGCTTCAGGCAATTTAATGTTTATTTGCTGAACTGGGCTTTGGAAACGAAACTGAAAATAGGCCAGTAGCTTTCATGAAAATTTCAGGAGCTTTTGTTAAGAATTTATCTCCAGAGGAATTTTGCTTTGTGGACCCTGTCAATATCTGTATCTGTTTGTCTGTCTTTCCTCCTTTCTTTCTTTCTCTCTCTCTCTCTCTCTCTCTCTCTCTCTCTCTCTCTCCCTCCCTCCCTCCCTCCCTCCCTCCCTCCCTCCCTTCCTTCCTTCCTTTCTTTCTTTGAAAAGAAAACCATGCAGGAAAAGTTTTCTCTAGATACTCCATACTAAATTTGTTACCATAATCCTGAATTCCCTTGTTGTTGAGTGTCAAGAGACTACTAATAGTTTTTGTCCTCAACGAGAAGTATAGAGAATGACGATGAGAAGCTTGCCTTCTGAGGCTGACAGTTTGAAACAACAGAGGAGAAAGTGTATTCACTTTGTGCCAAAAGTGAAAAGGTGTCACAGGACACCTTCCATTGAATGAAGAAATTGGAAAGAAAAGTTATGGGAAAAGTTATACTTCAACAAAAATGCCAACCAACACATCTATTTCTATTGGTGACCTTTGTGGAGATGATTGGTAGTCACACTGTCCTCTCTTATAATTAGAAGCATATATTAAGGTCTATCAGTATGTTGAGAACCCACCTGAAATACAGTCTTACAAGAGATTGGGAGTAACAAAAAAAAGTCCCATCATGAGTTTTATTTTAGAGAGACAGGCACCATGTTATAAAAATTGTGTTTGGGCAAAGCTACCTATCTCCATATTAACTCTGTTTTACTTATATAGTTCCTCATGATTACCTAAAGACCTTAACACATTTAATCCTTTCAAAAAGCTGTCTGATGTACAAGACGGAAGCATGATGTTCATTTTCTTTGGTTTAAGTAACTGAGGTCATTAGTAATCCATCCAAGACTGCAAGTTGAAATGGAATGGGCCAGTCAGGGTAATCAGACACTTTGGCAAAGAAGAATCATGTTTCAATTTTTTCATTCACAAAGGAAGATAGTTTTCACATTGCTTAAGTGAAAAAAAATATATTTGCAAATATAATAAAATGAGTGTGAAAGTGATTTTTAAATTCTTAAGAGATTTTCACACATTTGTTTGTAGCTACAAGAAAGAATCCAACTAACCAGGCAGTGGTGGCACACACCTTTAATCTCAGCAGTTGGGAGGCAGAGGCAGGCAAATCTCCATGAGTTCAAGGTCAGTCTGTTCTACAGAGCAAGTTCCAGAGCAGGCTCTAAAGCTACACAGAGAAACCCTGTCTCAAAAAGAAAAAGAAAGAAAGAAAGAAAGAAAGAAAGAAAGAAAGAAAGAAAGAAAGAA